GACAACTGGGTTCTAGCCCACCTGGAACATCAAATGATTTATGCCTCTGAAAAGTCACACTTCTAGCCTGTGATTGCTCATCTATAAAACATAGGCTTTGGACTAGAAAAGATTCTCAATCAATTTTTATTCCTCTACTCTAACAAGTCTCCAGTCATTCCAGTGTGTGACAAGACATAACAGGGAAGGGGAAATAATCTCAGCAGTTTTAACAAAGATCTGTCAAAAAAGAGGAGAGATCCAACAGGAGATCTTCATCTGGGTAAATGGCTATAATGTGTCTTGAATGTTATGATGCGCAATGTGATCTGTAGTGTGTACATGTCAGGCCACTGCTTGGGGTTGTGAAGGTGCCACATTAAGGAGGTGAAATTCGCAAATGATTGTCTAAGCTCCAGTAAGTTAGAAAAGGGCCCAAATAAAGACAACGATGAGCAAAAAGGAAAAGAACAAATCTGAGATGTTTCTTAACTGAGAAAACTCTGCCTTAGTATTTTAAAAACTGAAACCAAATGATGTAAGAGGGATCCAACCATTGAGTGAGAGTTTAGAGAATACTCATGTGACCTTCAGGATGTTGCTACATTAATGGGTCCAAAGTTGCTTGAGTGATTTTCTTAAACTTTTTAAGACTTGTTTTGGTGGTTGGTTGAATATGCAGATTGTTGTCAATTGCCTTTAGTTGAGCACAATTCATAGTGACCCTATGAACAAAAGGCCTGAAGCCCCTCTATAACTCTTGATATTTATCAAAATTCATAGAGTTTCCGGAGCCATGTTATTTAGGAAGTAGATGTCACTCGTGCTTCCAAGCCTGTCATGGTATGTTATTGTTATGTGCCATTTAGTTGCCTGTGATATATAGCGACCCTATGTACAACAGCTCTGAACTCTTCCCTGTCCTGAGCCAATCTCACTAATTCCAACATATCAACCCCTACTGCCCCAATTACTGTATCAATCCATCTCATCTGGGGTCTCCCTCTCCTGCACTGTCAGTCCACCCTTCTGAGCATGATGTCCTTCTCCAAGGACCAATCTTTCCTGGCCATGTGCCCAAAGTAAGTGAGGTGGAGCTTCAAAATCCTAGCCTGAAAGGAAAGACTTAGGTTCACCCTCTCCAAGACAGACATATTTGTTTTCTGATAGTCCATGGTATGTTCAAGACTCTTATCTAGCATCACAATTCAAAAGTATCTATTCTTCTTCTGTCAACCTTAGTCATTGTCCAACTCTATGAAGCACAACAAGTAATTGAGAAGACCATGGCCTGGATTAAGCACACATTTGAATCTAGACTGACATCGTTGCTCTTCAGCACTCTGGAGAGAGGTCCATGACAGCAGATTTTCCCAATGCAATTTGTCTTTTGACTTCTTGACTGCTTGTGTTAAGAGAGTTGGTTGTGGACCTGAGAAAGCTGGACTTGTTAACAACCTCAAACTCTCCTCCACTTACTATGGTGCTGCCAATTGGCTCAGTGGAGAGAATTTTTGTCTTCTTGATGTTGAGTTTCAGTCCATATTGAAGACTACAGTTCTTGACCTTTTTCAGCAAGTGCTTTAGGTTTTCTTCAGTTTCAGCAAGCAAGGTTGTGTCATGTGCATAATGAGTCTTCCTCCAATCTTGATGCCATGTTCTTCCTCGTAAAGCCCTGCTCTCCAAATGATCTGTTCTTCATGCAGATTGAAAAGTTATGGGGACAGGATGCATTCTTGATCCACTCCTTTCTTGATTTTGAACAATGCAGTGTTTCCTTGCTCTGTTCTGCAGACTGCTTCTTGGTCCAAGTATAGGTTTTGTATAAGCAAGATCAAGTATTCTGAGATTCCCATTTTCTTCAAGGTTAGTCACAATTTATTGTGATCCACACAGTTAAATGCCTTTGCATAGTCAATGAACACAGATAGACATTCTTCTGGTACTCTTTGCTTTCTGCCAAGAACCATCTAACATTGGCAATAATGTCCCTAGAGCCACATTTTCTAAACCCAGCCTGTATCAATGTACTGCTCAAGTGTTTTCTGAACAATCTTCAGCAGGATTTTGCTAGTGTGTGATATAAGTGATATTGTTTGATAATTTCCACACTCTGTCGGGTAGTCTTTTTTTGGAATGGATCTCTTCCAGTCAGTTGGCCAAGTAATTGTCCTCCAGATTTCTTGGCACACTTTGGTGATCACATGCAAGGTAACATCTGTTTGCTGAAAGATGTTAATTCATATTCCATCAATTCATATGTGGGTCTAATTCTATATTTATATCTACATATTTATCTATCTAATTAAATGCACAGTAATAGCAACATTACGATCATTCTTGTTATATTTACTAATCAGTTATTGAGATTAACTAAGTAATTAGTGAATAAAACTACCAGCTTGAAAGAATTTCTATTTTCCTCTATATAGGTTTGCAGAGAGATGCCATTTTTTATTTTAATTCTGGTATAAGCTTGTAGCACAAAGTTCTCCTTAGCTGAAGCTTGAAGCCAGAATTTTGCTAGGGAAGTGGAGGTTTCCTAGAGTTAGAAAGGATATAATCATCCTATTCATTTATAAATTTTTTCCTAACAATATTTCTAAGCTTTTCAAACCACTTCTCCAGAGTTCAGTATTAACAAACACTATTCCCACTATATTTTCCAAAGAACACAGATACTGTTTCAACCTGCACTGTAAATAGTTCCCTCATCAGAAATTAATTCAGTCAATTCAGCTTGGAAATTCTATTGTCAAAAAGCATAATAAAGTAAAAAAGCTCTTCCTTTGGGAATGTCACTCATTATTTCTTTTCTTGTTGGAAAAAAAAATGTGATTCTTCTCCATAATCTGCAAACACATTGCTGTCAAAACCATCAGAACAGCTGGAGAGGGTGTGTGTGTTCCTAGGTGCTTCATAAGAAAACAGTAAACTACCTTACAGTTAATGCAAAACAGACCAAGCCAGGGCAATATAGCTTACATTTCTGCCACTCAGACCACACTCCTTAATGACGGTCGTGCACGGGGAGGTCATTCCTACAAAGATTGCCTTGTGTCGTCTTCCTCCTTAATTGCTATTTATTTTTCCTAGTTTTTCTCCTCAACCTTATTCATTTTGAAACTCATTCATTCATTCATAAGATTTTAATGAGACACTTCTTTATATGAAACTAGTTGGTCTGAGGGAAACTACAATCCATTCACAGTGCTAAAACAATAACAGGAATATTTTTCTCCCTATAAAAATCTTATATAATTTTTCGAAAACATGTAATCCTCTCTACATATATGGTTGTTGTTGTTTGCTGTCATGTTGGAACAGACCCATAGCTGACCCTGTAATGAGTTTTCAAAGGCAACAAATCTCCGGGAGCAGAGCGCCCATCCTTCCTCCAAGGAACAGCTGGTAGATTAGATCTGCATATCTTTTGAATTGCAGTACAGCTTCTTTTTCTTTTTCTCCCTCCCATCTCCTTCTCCTGGTCATATTTTAATTTTTTTTAAACATTCATTCATTATTGCACTATTTATTTCCTTCTTCCCTCCTCCTCCAGTCCACTTTGCAATGCACCTCTTACTCTGGACTGTTGTCATACATTTAATACCTAATCATATATTCTTTTTAAACAATTCTTTATTTCATCTGTTGCAATGCAGTGTTCACTATCTATTCCCCTCTTTTCCTAATTTCCCCAACTCCCCATTTCTGTCTTGTTTTATAGCAGTGGTGGTCCTCAGTATTTATCCTTCTCTGACTGAAATATTTCACTTAGCATAATGTCCTCCAGGGTCCCCCATGTTGTGTTATGTTTTTCAGTGCTGCGTAGTATTCCACTGTGAGACTATACCAGTTTTTCTATCCATTCATTCGTAAATGGATTTTATATATATATATATTCACACACAATTTGTTTTTGTTGTGTACCATCACCGTCAAGTAGGAATAGACCCACAGCTGACCCTCCAGTGGGTTTTTAGAGGCAGTTAATCACATAGGAGGAGATTGCCCATCCTTCTCCCGCAGAGCAGCTGGTAGCCTCAAACCATGTGCCTTCAGGACTGAAGCACAGCTTCTTGCCACTAGGCTACCAGAGTGTGTGTGTGTGTATGTATATATAGATTTTATTTTAATTACTAATTATGAAAATGATTATGAAAATTTACTAATTATTAAACTGATCTTACTTCCCCAAAGAACTGTGAGGCTCTATAAGAGGATACCTGACTCAAAGAGTTACCATTGTAACTGAGCATCAGATTGGCTCAAGTAGACCTCTTTAACCTCATGCAATCTTATTCTAGATCATATTGGTTTTTCTTCTTTTGCTGGGAGAAATTATAATTTATCCTTCTGTATTGAAACTTTAACTGATTTTTTTCTAGACTCATTGAAAACTCTTCTAAATCGTTGTTGAATTCATGAACAAATACAATGTCTATAACTGTACATTATTCGCTAATGCTACTTGTAATGTATTGTTTTCCTTATCATTCTACTATTTAGGGAGCTCTGGTGGTATAATCCTTAGGGAGCTGTTCTGCTAACTCAAAGGCCACAACTTTCTCTTGGTTTGGATCCACCAGATACACTTTGGGAGAAAAACAAGCCATATTCTCCCCATGCAATTTATACCCTAGGAAAACCCACCAGAGAGTCAGTTATGACTTGATCACAGTGAGTTGAGTTATGCACTCTAGCCATAAGTAAACACTATAATTCTTTGTATCTATACTGCAGTCTCCAGAGAACAGAAGCGGAAACTAGACCTCTTCTTCACAGTGTCCTGGTAGATGCTGACTGTGGCAGTGGTCAACCAATATCTATTAAGCACTGGTCAAAATTCCAGATGTGACAAGAGGTTTTCAAAATCATTCCAGAAATTTTGCTTTGACTGTGTTCTTTTTCAAGTACAGAACTGTATACATATTCTTTAAAGGTACAAATATGTCTCATGAATACAGTAGATTTGCGCTCCAATACTACATTCCAGTAATTCTGACATTGCAGATCTTTACCTGAGCCTGCCATCCTCTGCTGCAGCACCGCCTGGTATAATCTTTGTAATAAATATGCCAGGGTCATCTCCAATGTGAGGATTATCTGTCCCTCCAGCAATACTGAATCCCAGACCAGAATTCCCCTGTGGAAACAAAAAAGGAGACATTAAATGATGTGACTGTCACTTAAAACCTGGCTTCACTGGTACTCTGTCTTATCATCTTTCCACTCAAATGTAAATCAGGTGATAGGAGTCCTGTATGCAAACCATAAAGTGCACTGTCAGTATAAAGACAAGGTCAAGGAGAATATTCCACTCATTTGTCCCTGAGTTGCAAAAATTCAAGAGGGCTTACATTTTTGCTTTTAAAAAACCCTTCCGTTTATGTAGCAATTAAAGTGATGATTATAGGTAAGAGGATAAGGAGGGGAAGAACTTATAAATTGTGTTAACATAAAAAATGTGAAAAGTTCCCTTAGGGTGAAAATGATAAAAAGAATTTATTCATATGAAAAAGAAATGGAAGGAAACAAGCTACGTGCAAATATAGGATTTGATAGAGTAATGAAATTGAGGTGTCTTCATGCTGTTATTTCTGGCATTGTTCTAATATCGCTTATCCATAAAATAAATGGGTTTCTGTGAAATAAGAAACATTAACTTCAAACATAAGATCATCATCTGGACTCAGAATGCATATGAATTACTTCCCAATAATACGTAGGCCTTAGATTACAAAACCAGTTATGTTATGCGGCTATTGCACACAAATCTGGATGATTTATAGTCTGATAAAATGTGTATTCTTACTACTATAAATTATAGTAATTAACATACAATGTACAAATAGTCTTCCAAATGTTTTATTTAAAGTGTAATCAAAAGTCTCATTGACAGTCATAAATTCTCTTACTTTGAAAATGTTTATTATACATCTTTACTTTTAATCTCCCTCTCCATGGAGACATTGTTTCCATAGGTATAGTCTGATTTTATTTTTCCCTTTAATTTTATATTCTATACCTTTTCGTAAAACTAAGTAGTCTTTATCATTTTTTTAAAATGGCTAAGTAAATTTCTTCAGCGTCATCATATACTTTCATTTCTTTAACTTGTCTCTAGTTATAAGATATTTAATTTCTTTCTATAAGAATAATTAAAGCTTATTGAATTTGTAATTTCTGGTCAAGTTCAGAAAGAAGAGAGGAGAACCAATAACTTAATATTTAATCTAGAGAAATTAATTAGGACATTTAATTAGTCAGAAAAGTTCAATGTCGAGATAAGGTCAGCTGTAACTTGGCAGTTAAACCACTGCAAATGTCAAGGTACTCTTTTGCAGTTTTTATTGACTGAATTAATAAAACTCTGAATTCCACTGGGTTGTTCTTACAACTGTACATTTATGTTGAAAGGTTGAAATAAATAATTCATCCATGATAGTAAAGTCTTATATCCTTATGCTTTTGCTATCTTCTCTAATCCTATTTGCTTTCTAAAAAGTCCCATAGTGCACTGAACAGAGATCTTAGTTTATAGCAGTCACAAAACCATGAATTTATTTAACAAATTTACTTAATAATCATTAACAATAAATATGTCAGGTTATAAGTTCAGAGGACAGTAGCAGCCCCCTAATAGTAGAACCCAACATGGGAAATTTTCCTGCAGGAGTAGTAACAGTGAAGTACTTGAATGGGAGCCACGAGAGGATACCAAGCAGGGGACAAAATATTGCAGACAGAGACAAGAGAGAACACACACACACATGCACACACACATGCACACAGGCACACATGCACACAGAATATATACTATGATTTTAATTTTTTCCATTGGGGCCTTGTTTAGCATGTAATATTATTCAACAGATATGTGATGTCTGACAGAACCAACAAACAAACCAACTGAGAATATTTACAATCCAAAGTGAAGAAACCACACGACAGAGATTCAAATATGTTAAGGAGTGTCTTGCAGAACAGCAACTCTTTTGTTATTTGTGGTAACAACAATCAAAAACAACACAGATATTCAAAGAATGGTGCAAATAAAGAATTGAAGAGAAAATAAAGCTTTCCAAGATGGGGATGGACTATTTCCTAAGAAGAAAAGGCCTTTCACTCAAGAGGCTTCTGGTTTATCACTGGACATGAGAGACCTGGACAACCACCAAGATATTATTAAAGGATTCTTCTGGGGACCTTACAAAAAAAAAAAAAAAGAGAGAGTGAGAAATTAATTAAAAATTATTAGCTTTTGATAAAAAGTAAAACAATATTTTAAAAAATCTTTGAATCATCAGCTCTTTGATGTAACTGATTTGATGACAACTTGACAACATTTAACTACTGTTTTTAGAATTGGTTCTAATTTGGTGAACATGGTGGCTCCATGGCTTTCCCAGCCCTTGAACCCACTCTGGGGAAAAAGAACGAATGGGTAAGGGAGTCCACAATAAAAATAGGACCCAAGAAGGAGATGGGATACAACTCTGAGACTGTTACCACTGTCAGGGATTTCCAAATGTTTTTGTGCTTCAATTCAAACTGGTCTGCCAGCTGGGTCTGGCTTCCTCACTATGGTTCTTTAGAAGAGGCTCATCTGAATTCAGCTAAGGAAATGATTTAAAGTGTTTGCCACCACCCCTTCTTGTTCTCCCAGCCCACCCTTTCAGGCCTCTGCTACCAGCCAGCAGCATTCAGTGGAGAGAGGAACAGATAAAAAGCAGCAGTGAAATTGCAAGCTGCTGCTCTCCATGGCTAAATCACTCCAGTCCCCAGACAGTCGTGCCAGAGCCTGCCAGCTGCAGGGGCAGCTCTCAGCCCCTTGCTCCTTTGAGCAGCAGCCCCACCATGTGTGCATGCAGACCCTTGGCTGACACTCTCAGACCCTGAAAATTGTGTCTAACAAACCAAGTGTTGAACCTTAACCTAGACAATGGAGACTGTGAAGTGGCGTGCTGTCAAGGGCAGCCCGGTACAGAAGCTGGGCAAGGCTGCTGTGTTCTTCAGCAGGGCAGATTCTGTAAGTGATGAATGGGACTGGCAGAGGTCATTCTTACTTCTGCTTCCCAGTCCTTCACATTTGGTTATGTTCTTCCTAGCAGCACAGCTCATTGCCTAGCCCAATAGTACTTCCTAGTTTTTCATTTACTATGCAATATACACACTAAAAAAAAATAAATAAAAGGAAATTCACTTTACATACAATTGTTGGTTGTATAAATGTAGTTACAACTGGAAAGCTTTACTTTTGTGGAAAAATTATTCTCGGAATAAAAATTTACCCTAACAAAGCAATTCTTTAGTTTTTTTGGTTTTATCTTATCAATTTACAATATTGTTTGACTTTGTAATTCAATTGTAGGAATTAATCCTAAAGAATTAATCAGAGATACCAATGCTATGCTTTGTGCTTAATCTTTTCCCTCCTCCTACCTGTATTATTTTTTCTAATGAAACAAACTAGAAAAAATTGGAAAAGAAAATTTGAGAAAATAAAGTACGGTGGCACATATGCTTGGAAGTGGGGATATTTTTGTGCTATTAAACTCTTAATAGCATTCAATAAATTATCGCAGTAATGGAATCAATACATCTCCTCGAGGGTCTTCTTCTCCTGGGTTGTCCCTCCACCCTCCCAAGCATGATGTCCCTCTCCAAGGACTGATCCCACCTTGAAAATGTCCAAAGTATGTCAGACAGAGCTTCAGAAGAATCCTTGCCTCCAAGGAGCAGCCTGCCTTCACCCTCTCTAGGATGAACTTGTTTGTTCTTGTAACAGTCCGTGACATGTTCAATACTCTTCTCCAGCACCAAACCTCAAAGGCATCAACTCTCCTTCAATCACCCCTAGTCATTGTCCAGCTCTCTGATTTATAGGTAATGGCAAAGACCATGGCCTGTATCAGGTGCACCTTAATCTCCAGACTGATATTGTTGCTCCTCAGTACCATGGAGAGGTCTCTGACAGTAGACTTTCCAATGCATTTCGTCTTTTAATTTCCTGCCTACTGGTGCCAACAGTTTTGATCATACTGACAAGCAAACTGGAGCTGTCAACAATCTCAATCTCTTCACCATCTATCATGATGCTGCCAATCGCCCCAGTGGTGAGAATCTTGGTTTTCTTGATGTTGAGCTTCAATCCATATTGAACGCTGTAATCCTTGATCTTCTGCAGCAAGCACTTCAGGTCCTTCTCAGTTTTAGCAAGCAGGGTTGTGTCATCTGCATAATACAGATTGTTAATGAGTATACCTCCAATCCTGATGTCACACTTCTCCTCATAGCACCCAGACTCCCAGATAATCTGTTCTGCATATAGATTGGAAAAAAATATGGAGATGGGACACATCCCTGATGCACATCCTTCCAATTTTGAACCATGCAGTGTTTCCTTGTTCTGTTCTGACATAAGCACAATCAAGTGTTCTGGGATTCCCATTCTTCTCAAAGTCAGCCACAGTTTGTTGTGGTCCACACAGTCAAATGCCTTTGCTTATTCGATGAAACACAGATAGACATTCCTCTGGTACTCTCTGTTTCAGCCAAGATCCATCTATCTGACATTAGCTATACTATCTCTAGTGCCATGGCCTCTTCTAAATCCAGCCTGCACTTCAGGCATTTTTTGATGATTTTCAGCAGAATCTTGCTTGCATGTGATATCAATGATACTGTTTGATAATTTCCACACTCTCTGGTCTTTGCTCATTAATGTCCAAGGCCTCAAGCCTGTTCCTGAGGTGGTTTTGAAATTCAGGTGGAATGAACTCAAAGTCATATTTTGGTTCCCGTGGATTTGGTTTAATTTTCCTCAGCTTCAGCTTGAACTTGCCTATGAGTAGTTGGTGGTTTGTTCCACAATCAGCACCTGGCCTAGTTTTCACAGCTGATACTGAGCTTCTTCAGCGATTCATTCCACAGATGTAATTGATCTGATTCCTATGCATGCCATCAGGTGAAATCCATGTGTATAGCCTGTGTTTGTGTTTCTTATAAAATGCATTTGCAATGAATAACTCATTGATTGTGCAAAATTCTATCTTTCTATCTCTGACTTCATTTCTGTCACCAAGTCCATGTTTCCAGCATAGTAGATCATATGATCCTCTGACTCAAAAATGTCCCATGCCA